AAACAAAAAAATAAATATATATATATATATATATATATATATATATATATATATATATATATATGTAAATGTACATCATTTGATGTTGGTGGTGACTCCAAACGTGATATATAATGTCTAGTTCTTAGTATAAACCATTGCATGTATTTAGACTTTTTAGATAAAAAACCTCTATGTTGTTCACCTTCTTCAAAATGATTATTTCGATCATTCCATATTTCAATCCAATGACGATGATAGTCTAGCCAATATTTGTCTGTTTTACTGCACATATCAATTTTATGGAGTTGATCCAAGTTTGATGGGTCTTATGGAATATTTTGTTATAATCTAAATTGTATCAATACCTTGTCTGGATGCTATTTTACAATTGCAAAACATATAAGAGGTACCCTTACATGGGCAATAGGAGAAACCTCAAAATTAATTAAGCATTGTATTTGAGGTTTCTGATATGACATCCATAGAAACTGCAAGAGGTTAATATAATTTGTAAATAAATTTTACTAATAAATACGTAAATGATTAAAAAAGTAAATAAAGTCAACCTCTTTTTGATGTAATCAACCAAATAAGATATATATCAATTTTGTTGCATATGTGGGAATGTTGGTTTTTTCCATTCGACGAGACCACCATAAATCATATGAAAACATTTGTTATTGTTAATATATAATTTAAATAAAAAAATTAGACATAGAATAAGACATAACTACATGCAAGAGGAAATCCAAGTCATTGTTCAACATCTTCGTTTGTGAACTCTTTAATACGTGGAGCAATGCATGTGATCCGGTCCCACACCCATGATTGCAAAAGTAACATGCATCCTGCAATATTTGTTTGCTTGGGTGATACTGCATGATCTAAAGCACAATATAATGAAGCCAATACTATTGAATCCCAATTGTGATTTTTAACAATTGTCAAGTCTTGTAATAATAATAGATACATCATATGAACTCTTGATGCTTATGTATCTAGCATAAAAAATCCACCTATAAGCATGATTATATGAGCTCTAGCGTGTTGTGCAATGACTACTTCATCAATATCATCAGGTAGTTGTTGAAATTGAGAGTTAAGCCATGATAAATAAATGGAGTTGCATTTAATGTGTTCTCTTAGTGGTATTACCCCAAGTAACATTTCACAAGCAAGAGCCAAATTACACTATTATAACCATTGACAAGCTCGCCATCAATTGGGAGGCCAAGTTGTAAAGACACGTATTCTAAAGTGACAATTGTCTCTCCATGAGGAAAATGAAACGTATGTGTTTCAATTCTCCAACATTCTACTAAAGTTGTAACTAAATGATGATTTATCTCAATTTTTCCAATGGTAAGGACATGATCAATACTAGATTGATCAATTAATTATTTCACAAGGATCTAATAAGGCTAGATTTTTGAAAGCCCATATAGCATGACATCTTAGACGAATCAATCTATTAAGTCCCTCCCATACTTTGGTTAAGATATGAGTATTTTGAAAGTGCAATAATGACCCATCGACTGGTCCAAGTTGAACATTTTCCATTTTCTTGAAGTGAAGGTGTAGAAATGATATGGAGTGAGTGAATGTGAAAGAAAGTGTAGAAATGAAAATATATTCGTTCAACACTAAGAGAGTGTATATGCAATCACTTCAACTTTAAGTTGTGAGTGTATATGCAATCACCTCAATTTTAAGTTGTGAGTGTATATCTCTAGTCGTGAGTGTAGAGAATATATATGTAGTATGTGCAAACATAGAGAAGAGAATATGTGCATGGTTTATGTATAGTTTACTTCAATCATGTAGTCAAAGCAATAATGTTAAAAAGGAAAAAAACAATAATATGTACTATAAACGATATGTGTGTGGTTTATGTGTAGTTTACTTCATGTGTATGTGTGTCATTTCATTCACATGTATGTACTACAAATAATAATTTAGTAAAAACAATAGTGTAGTGATGGAATTTAGTTCATATGACAAAGCAATAATGCCAAACAATTATGTAGTCAAAGCAATAATGTCAAAAAGGAAAAAAGCAATAGTGACATTTCATTCACATGTATGCACACTTGGTATGCTATACTTGGTACTTGTAATACTTAATGATAAAATAATATAATAATAAAATATTACATCACAAAAAATCATGTAGTTATGTATTATTTATACTCGTAACAATTGCACGTATGCACTCAATTTCTACTTGCTAACTTTTATTATTTATTTTTGTAAATGTCTACAAGAGACAATGTTAGTGAGTTTAGTGAGGATGAGCAAGAGTATGAAAAGCCCGACAATGAAAGAGAAGCACATGTTACTCTATCTCCATTTTATCATAACTTTCATTGTCAAGTTTTAGAGGAGTCAGAGTTCTTAAATCGTTACGAGAATACTAGCGGTACAAACAATCCACTTAATGAATTATGGGTTGGCAAGCTTTTTGAGTCCAAAGAAGCAACTGAATTTGCAATTAAGCAATTTCATATTGATCACTCATTTGATTTTGTTGTTGAAAAGTCCAGGTTTGACAAGTACATTAGTAGGTGTACAAAATATGATAATGGATATGAGTGGTGGATTAGAGCATCATTTAGTAAATTTCGTAATAAATGGGAGATCAAAAAAATTAATGGTGTCCACACTTGCATAACTTCAATAATTTCTCAAGATCATCATAAGTTAGACTCAAATGTAATCGCTAGTCATATTCATGGATTAGTAAATGAAAATCCTAGTATTCCAATAAAAAAATTAATTGTCGAAATCCAAACTTACCATGGTTATACTAGGACGTACAAAAAGGCATGGTTAGCCAAACAAAAAACAATTGCAAATGCTTTTGGAGACTAGGAAGAATCTTACAATGTACTTGGAAGTTGTCCAAAGGTATGTACCAAGTACAATTGTTAAATACAAAACTTCTACAATTGTTATTGATGGTGAGGAAGGTTCCTTAACTTTGATTCTTGATTGTGTGTTTTGATCTTTCAAACCATGCATTGAAGGTTTCCAATATTGCAAGCCAATTGCGCAAGTTGATGGTACATTTTTAATAAGAAAAATATCATGGTACTTTGTTAACTGCTATTACACAAGATGACAATCAAAACTTGTTTCCACTTGCATTCACAATTGTTAAGGGTGAGACAAAGGAAGCTTGGGTGTGGTTCTTGCATTATTTGAAGGTATGTCACATCACAATCAAATTTATGCATCATATTAGATAGGGGAAAGGTTTATTAGCAACTTTACAATCAGAACAAGTTAGGTGGAATGGTTCAAGTATACATCCACTGTACTATATTTGACACATTGCGTCAAATTTTAATAAAGTATTTAACGACGTTGAATTGAAAAAAG